ATGACGTTGTTATTAGCTGCTGAAGGAAAAAATAAGAACCTTTCCTGTGGACATGTATTTGATAGGGTCAGAGTTCACAGGGTGAAGAACATCTAAATGCATCCATGGGTGGAGGAATAACAGTAGTTAGTTGTGCCAAGAGATACTCAGATTCCATATAAAATTATGTTTGAAAACTGTTGACAGGCTTTGCTCTCTAGTAGAAACATGAAGAAACAAGCGATCTTCCCTGTTGTATGGTATTCTTTGATCATTTGAGTATGTGTCACAAAGTCACCAGGAGAGACCTTTTTTTGTGTTTTGCACGGTATTAATTTATTCTTAATTGTGTGTGTGTGTGTGTGTGTGTGTGTGTGTGTGTGTGTGTGTGTGTGTGTGTGTGTGTGTGTGTGAGTGTGTGAATCACTGTTTTGAAGTGTCTCTCTCTTCAGTGTGGCTGAAGGACCTCCCCCTGCAGCAACCTGGCACACCTGCAAGTACTGATCACCTTCCCAAATAGATAAGAAGGAGGAAGCAGAGCAGGATGAGGGCTGGGGGAAATCCAACAGACACAGCAGAGAAGAAACAGGAGCAGCAAAGGATGTGCTGGCCGAACTTAGTCTTACCTGCAGTCAAGGAGAAGTGAAGACTGGCTGGACAGCTTTTGGACCCCTGGTAAAGTCTCTTTTAAAAGACTGTGCCCTTTCATCACCCCCATCTTTTTTTCTGTTTGTTTTTTACCAAAACTGCCTGCGTTAATAAACTGCCTTATTGAACTTCTGACTCTGCCAACTTGTTTAACTAGAGCGTAAAGAAACCTGTGACATATACGGTAAAAAAAAAAGTGGTTTTAATAGAAAAAATAATAGGTTATTTGCAATGGTATGGAAGGAAAATCTGTCAAATGCTGCCATAAAAGGGTAATATAGGTCTGATGTGTCAGTCTAATTCTTCTCCATACCAGTGACAGTATATGCATCATATTGTTTCCACATGTCACAACTGGAATTCATCAGTCAACTCTTTTTGCTAGTCATGAATAACAAATACATGGAGCATTTAGATCTATATATATATATATATATATATATATATATATTTTTTTTTTTTAAATAACTATCTGATTATAGTCTGAGACTAAAGGAGAATAATCAATTGTATTCTGAAGACAACTAAAAAGACGCATGTTCCTAAACTATTAGGAGTAATTATCCTGTTTCTTCTGTGAGCCATCCACAAGATATTACATATTACAAACTTTTGATTTGCAATCAGAGCGTAATCACTCAGGAATTTGGATCATATTCCCAATTTTTAATATCTATAATAAATTTCAGGTTTTTTATCATCAATAAAAATAGTACACAACTCCTTGAACCAAGAGGATGGACCTTGATCCATGTTTCCAAAAAGGAGCTTATTGAGGATTGCTGGCAGGGAAAAGATTCAGACTCGATTGAACAGGTAACCTTGCGAGGCAGCTGGACTCGCAAGATCATCTGAGAATCCAGCTTGCCTTTTTTGGATCCAATCACCTGAAGAGTAGTTTTTAAAAGTGCCTGCCCTTTTCCAAATAGTTTTTAACGACAGCTTCTTAGACGGTCCTGTGTAACAAACCATCTGGTGCAGTCAGTTAGAGATTTTCACAAACCTATTTCTGAATAAGCAAGAGGGGAAACAAATCCTCTACCAGATTGAGTATTCAGGCATTCTAAAATCTCACAGCGACTCTCTAGTCTCTAATGTTCCTCAGGTACACAAGTGAGCTTTAGCTCCAACTGATTAATCACCAATGTGTGCTGTCCATGTTCACAAAGCTGCTGATTATAGAGACTAAACACACTTAAAGAATGAATAAAACTGCATGATCCTATCATTATGTTGAAGCATGCATGACAGTACAGTGTACATGTTTTTCATTTAGTGGAGGTCAGGGTCTGAGGAGTGGGGGTCCCATTCTTCTGATGTGCGTGACACTGGTGGAGCTGAAATCCTGGCTGGATCTACAACACTGGGGCTTTGTGGCTTAAGTGGATGATCGTTGTGCAACAGGAGATGCAGTTGTGATTCCTATACAGCGTCAAAGAGGCTGCTCTGGAAAAGTAGAGTCTGTTTTTTTAAGAGCAGCTGTATCACAGTGTGCATCACTACAGATAGGCATCTGGACCCTGTATACTCCCTGAGCTGTGCTGATAGTGGGCTTGCTCTTAATGGGCATATTTATCCACCTGCTCCAGACAACTGACCCAATCTGTTTCAAACTAGGTGGGTGTTTTGACCGAGATACTGCAGAGGGTGTTGTGCTGGCATGTCTGGAGTGATGGAGACTGATAGAGACAGTCACAGAGATTCTTTGAGCAAACTGTCGCTATACCCTTACAGTAAAACACAAGATCGATAATCTGAGATTGTCCTTGTCACCAATATGTTATTATTTCATGTGTTTATGTGAATAAGTTCCATTGGCTTCACATATAATTCATTCATTCACTGAGTCAGAAATGCACAAACTTAACCAAGCGCAAAGGAGAAACTACAGTGAAAGGCCCTATGTAGAATCAGTGTTTGGTTAAACATGGCAGACTCCCTCTGTAGATAAAAACGGCTCATTCTAAGGTAACAAAAACACAATGATTCTCAGGTGATTAAACACTAATAAAACCTACTTGTTACACACTGGACCTTTAAGAAACAAAAGGGGGATTAATTATTATTAAGTATTGCTGTGACTGTGACTCAGAGGTAGCGCGTGTCATCCTCTAATCCAGGGGTTCTCAAACTTTTTGGGGCCAAGAACCCTTTACAGGGGAGAACATTTTCCAAGGACCCCCTTATATTCCTCATGCTGATTAAACATATGTTTACTGACATTTGTACTCCTAGATGCCATAGGAGTTATTTATATTTTAAACTTTTCAACCTAAATATTTAAGGCGAGTTTCATAGAAATGAACTTAAACAAATTAAATTTGAATAAATGTTAATACCATTTCTATACTTTTAAACACAGGGTTATTTTTATTCAGATTACATTTTGACCTCACAGGATTTCTAATTTTCCAAGTAACAGATCTTAAAGCTTTCAGAAAATGAACAGTAACAAGACTGGCAAAGTTTCATGGCTAAAACGCCTTGAGGGGTTAAATAAAACCAACAAATGAAAAATCAACACATTCTCGAGGAAAGGAACAAATATTTACATGGTAGGGCCATTCGAGCCTTATAAGGATGACATATTTTCAAATGACTATAAATATGGACATTACAAACCTTTACTACTGGTTGTCTCTAACCTGAAAAATCAACAGTTTATGAGGTAGCTTCTGTCCATCTATCACAAGAGAATGTGAAACTCTGAAAAGGGAATGTCAACATAAAGATACTGTTTATGACTACCTTTAGACCCGCTGGTGCTCTTACCGTCTCTGTTCTGAATAAACCCAAGCACGAGATAACTGTCGACATATCTTCTCAGTTTAGCTGGTTTGGGCTTCACATCACTTGATGAAGTGGACGGTCTTAACATCAGCAGGAGGTGTACGCTAGTGCGTCCGAGCAAAGTCCTAGGTTTCAGCGTTACAATCCTTTGGGAGTTTTGATTGGCCCAAAGCTAACGTAAGCGGGAGTAATTGGATCAGTATTTTTGTTTTATTGGCGCAGTGGTTCCCATGTGTACTTATGCAATTTTTAATGATACGGCATAACTTTAATAATTTATTGCAAATTATTTCGTGGACCCCCAAGCTATGGCTCGCGGACCCCCTGGGGTCCGGGGACCCCAGTTTGAGAACCGCTGCTCTAATCGAAAGGTTGGCGTTTCAATCTCCAGCTCCTGTTGCTGAATATCTGTGTCCTTGAGCAAGATACTGAACCCCAAATTACTGCTCCCGATGCTGTGTGTGTGTGTGTGTGTGTGTGTGTGTGTGTGTGTGTGTGTGTTTGTGTATGAATGATTAGTTGTGTATTCCTTTCTGATGAGCACTTGGCCCTTGCATGGCAGCCAATGCCATCAGTGTATAAATGTGTGTGGATGGGTGAGTGTGGCACACAAATACTGTAAACCTGTTTGTGTTCAGTGCGTACAGTGCGTGTACAGTCCATTTACCATTTAATGAAAATGTATTGAGTTGCAACTGAGGCTGAAAGAATAATCAAAGACCTGAACAACAATGTTTCACATGGCAAATTCAGGCTGTTTCACATTTCAACAGCACTACTTTCATCAGTACAACAGAGCCATACTCATCCCTCTGCTGCTGTTAGCCTGTGATAAGTGAAAGCTAGCACAATTATTTTACCAAATAACAGTCAAAAAAACCTAAGCACTTTCTGCAGATGTTTCACATTACTGTAAAATCCTGTCAGGAAAAGACTTTTGATGATTAAAGAAGACATGAAGCGTGCACTGTTTGGCACTGGCTGTGCCCAAATATAATAGAGACCCCACCTTGCCTAAAATCAGATTTAAAAAAGTTGTTAAAACCACACACAGAACGGAATATCTACCTATTGTGGCTATAGCTAAGTAGCTAGCTTGGTCTAATGCTATTACCTACATTTAACAGGATTTGTTCAGTTGGCATGGTTGTACTCGCACAGCCCAGAGTTTGGTAGTGAAGAGTTAAAGAGGTTTGTGGTTAATATGTGTACAGAAGACACATCTGAAACCAACTCTGAATTTCGTAATACTGGAATTTGTTTACATAATGATCAAAATACTTGGAGGAGGACGTGCAGAGGAAATCCAGTAGAAGATAATCAACATAATATCAGAACTAAAGTGTGTGTGGTGATAGAAATATGGAACTCATGAACATGAAGATTCTCAGTGATAAATTGTCTCCAGTTGGACATAGAGTAGTTACTTGGAATTATAAGGATAAAGTGCAGTCCCTAGTGGTATGAGCAGGTGATTTATGTGGTTTTCAATTCAATTCAATTCAATTTTATTTGTATAGCGCCAATTCATAACTATTTGAAAAGTGTCCTGAGATAATCAGGACACTTTTCAAATAGAGCAGGTCTAGACCGAACTCTTTATAACATTAATTACAGAGACCCAACAGTACCACCATGAGCAAGACCTTGGAGACAAGGGCAAGGAAAAACTGCCTGTTAAAAGGCAGAAACCTAGGACAGATCCTCCGGCTCTAGGTGGGTGGTCGTCTGTCTCGACCAGTTGGAGAGAGAGAGAGAGAGAGAGAGAGAGAGAGAGAGAGAGAGAGAGAGAGAGATGCACAGCAACAACAGTATTGGCAATGGCAGTCAAGCAGGACCATGGCAGGAGGCTCCACCAGGATCAATAAGAACCTACGAGACGAGAAAGCACAAGAACTCCGGGAAAGAAGTGAAGTTAGTAACATGCATTAATGGAACATGAATGAGTGCAGAAAGAGAGAGGAAGAGAGGAGCTCAGTGCACCATGGGAAATCCCCCGATAGTCTAGGCCTATAGCAGCATAACTAAGGGATGGTTCAGGACTCACCTGATCCAGCCCTAACTATAAGCTTTATCAAAGAGGAACGTCTTAAGCCTACTCTTGAATGTGGTGAGGGTGTCTGCCTCCCGAACCACAACTGGAAGCTGGTTCCACAGGAGAGGAGCTTGGTAACTGAAGGCTCTGGCTCCTGTTCTACTTTTAGAGACTATAGGGACCACAAGTAGCCCAGCATTCAGAGAACGCAGTGTTCTAGAGGGGTAATAGGGTAGTATGAGCTCTTTAAGATATGAAGGGGCCTGACCATGAAGAGCTTTATAGGTGAGGAGGAGGATTTTAAATTCTATTCTACATTTTACAGGGAGCCAATGCAGAGAAGCTAGTACAGGAGAGATGTGATCTCTTTTTCTAGTTCCTGTCAGTACTCATGCTGCAGCGTTCTGAATTAATTGGAGCGTCTTAATGGATTTATTAGGGCAGATAAATAAATGATAATAAAGAGTTGCAGTAATCCAGCCTAGAAGTAACAAATGCATGGATTAGTTTTTCTGCATCTGTCTGTGATAGTATGTGTCTAATTTTTGTAATATTACGTAAATGAAAGAAGGCAGTCCTGGAGGTTTGCTTTATGTGGGATTTAAATGACATGTCCTGATCTAAGATAACTCCTGACTGTGGTGCTAGAGGCCAAGGTAATGCCATCTAGAGTAACTATATCTTTAGACAGTGAGTCTCTAAGATTGTTGGAGCCAAGAACAAGAATTTCGTTTTTAGTTTAACATCAGAAAATTGCTGCTCATCCAGGACTTTATGTCATTAAGACATGTTTATAATTTAGATAATTGATTAATTTCATCGGGCTTGATTGATAGATATAACTGCGTATCATCTGCATAACAGTGAAAGTTAATGGAGTAATTTCTAATAATGTTGCCTAAAGGGAGCATATATAAAGTAAATAGTATTGGTCCAAGTACAGAGCCTTGGTCCAAGTACTGGTAAGTAGTGCCTTTGTGGCACTATAGGTCCAGAAACACTGTTACAAACACTGAAACAACTGTTAACCAAGTGTGGAGTATGAGTCATCAAATGGGGTCTGCCTATTCCTGTTCTGATGGAAGGAAGTTGTAAGTCAACCTATTTGTCAGGAGTACACAGCACTAGTGATATGGGTAAAGAGGGCCAGCTGAGGAGGGAAAAAATGGTTGTGTGTGAAGAACATAAACTTGAAATAAACCCTGATAATAGTGATGGGATCAGTGTAATTTTTATGTGAGAGCTGAGGAATGCAATAAGGCGAGGGCATAATACCACCGCTCGGAGAGATGGCCTTGGATATGGGATATTCAAGCACATGGATGACTTGGCATTGGAGAAGACGTTGTCTCTGATATTACAGTATGGAAACAAGGGCTAATCCCGGCTGAGTGGAAGCATGCAGTGGTTGTTCCGATATTGAAACCTGGGAGTGCAACTGGCAGTCATAAATATAGTACAGACAGCACAGCAGTAATGAGATTGAGATAATGGGGGAAATGGTTACTGACCAGCTTGTGCTTAGACTAGAGCATAAAAAGCACTTTCCTCCATTTTGAAGGAGGGTTTAGAATGTGGTGACCAGACATCCTGGTTTGTCTGGGATTGTCCCAGTTTCAAGCTGGGTGTCCCAGGTCCCAACAAATATATTAAAATGTCCTGTTTTTTATTTTTTCAAATTCACTAACAAATTGTGACAATAATTAAAATAACAATTATTTTCAGCGCTTACATAGGCGTTTATCATGCGCCCCACTCATTATTAACTAACACAATATAAATGCATAAACAATGCTCTATGTTTTTGAACACTGATTTGTCTGATACATTTCAATCAATCATGTGTCAGGCTGTTGCTAGTGACGTTTGCCTGTATCTCTTTCTGACACAAGCTGTCAGTAAGCTTGCTAACAGTTAGCTGTGGTCATGTTGAAGCGATAGCTGGTATTTTCAAAAGAGCTCCAGGATGCTTACGCTTTAGTTTGTAAAGTATCCAGCAACAAAACTACTACATTCTGCACACACTGGAAGAGTACACCAACACAGCCTGGCTGGAGTGGGCTGTGCGGGCTTTGGTAGATGATGGAGCAATATAGAAGAGATGTTGGACGTTTGATGAAGCAGATGCAGAGTGCCTTGGATAAGGTGCAGGCTTGGGCTCATAAGTGGGGTTTTAGGTTGTTGGTAACAAAGACACAGAGTATGTAATCTTCGGCAGAAAGAAGAAACTAGATAGTCAGGGGCTTAAGGTATATAGAGAATCCATTGAAAGAGGGTCTTTAAGTTTTTATGGCTGGAGGAAAAACTGAGATATAAAGCACATGTGGTAAAAATGTGTGAGAAGGTCATAAATATTATAAGCAATGCCTGATTGGATGTTCCTGCGGGCAGCTAGGAATTAAATGCTGAGGATTTATAAGGCTATGGTAAGAGCAATCTTTGACTAGGGCTGCTTGGCATATCCTGTGTGTTGTTCTTTGGCTAAATCTACAGTGGCTAAATTGGATGTTGTTCAGGCCAGGGCTCTGGTGCTGTGCACTGGTGTATTCCGGGCTGGTGGTGGAGATGAAGGAGGTTACACTGAGGATGCAAAGTGCAAAATTAGCCCAAATTATTGGATAGTTAACAGGATTTGGATCAGCTCTTCCATCAATCTCTCTGCTAGCTATATAAATTCCATAAGAAAATACTCAAAGGAACTCTCAACCAAGCAAACCAACCCTGACGCCAGAGGGACACCTACAGCATCATACTTTGAAGCGGAGGGCCACTGACCAAGCTGCAGAATTTGACGACTTTGTGTGATTGATTGTAATGAAGCACAGGTGCAGACAGCAGTTTGTGTCCCTCAGTTATCATCAGTGAGCATAAGCATATAAATATGTATGTGTATTATGCAAGCAATACCACAGTCTACCACACAATAATCTATTGCAAGTAAATCCTGTAATGAAGATGTTACTTAAGTAAAAGTACAGAACAGAAAAGTACCCAGTGTTAATTACATTTTATTGTTGTAAATGGTAAAAGGTGGAGCTCATATGAACTATTTCATACACAGTTGGATAACGTAATCCACAACAATACATTGAAAGTAACATGTTTTATTTCCTGTTCTTGTTCTTTTAGAAAAGCAAAGACATGTTTGACATGTTCTCTTGTACATTTTTATGACCATGGTTTGTCATCAGAGCTATATAAAACCTTCACATGCAAAGACACACTGTAAACACAGAACATTCCAGAGGATAATGGTAATGGTAAATTGACCTGTGCTTGTATAGTGCCTTTCTAGTCTTCTAGAACTTCCGACCACTCAAAGCACTTTTACACTACGTGCCACATTCACCCTTTCATACACATTCACTCAGTGATGGCAAAGTCCATCGAACAGAAACTAATGCATTCATACACATTTACAAACCGATGCACGGCATCTGGAGCAATTTGGGGTTCAGTATCTTGCTCAAGGATGCTTCAACATGTGGTGGGAGGAGCTGGGGATTAAACCAACAACCTTACGACTAGTGGACGACACGCTCTTCCTCTGAGCCACAGCCGCCCCTGGCCCTGGTTAAATATAATTTCTGTCATTAATCTGACTGTTGAAACGGCTTACATTTGTGACACTGACATAGTCATCAGAGACAGAACTGTGGGGTATGTGCATGATTTAAAAATGTCATTTAAATCTATCTTTGAATGAATGAGGGAGGAATGAAGAGTCACAGGATAATCAGGATTCATAGTGGTGCATGTTTCAGACTGGGTAATGTTTTATGGGTCTTCTTTTGTGTGTGAACTTGGTCTAAATTCCTTTCCAAAGAGAGAATCCCCAAGGCCTGGCTCAGTCAGGATGTGGAGTGGATGCATGTTGGGATTTGTCCATGAGTTTCAGATGTGCCGTCCTGCAGCCTTCCTGTTTGAAAGATGCTACCTTCTAAAGTGTGCTGCATGCAAAACACTGACTTCATATGATGTTCTTGTTATTATATTTCCTTATTGATGACTTGAATTTGGTTTGCAATCTATGAACAAATTTTGGGACCTACAGTACACGTCTCACGTTATTTCATAACCACCTTCATCTTATAATGAATGTTGCATTTAAAATTCACATCAGTGTACATGTATGGACGATGACAATGAACGCTTTTGTTAGACAGAACTCTATGGGAATGCAAAGTGGTGCTGATATAACTGACCCTTCCCAACCCTTTTTGCTCTGTGCTTTATTAACAGTTGAACAAGCCTCAGTCAGAACCTCCAACTTTTGAAGATGGTTAAAAGATAAAAGGTGACAAATAGTTAGATCTTAAGTTCAACGATTGATCTAGATTAGCTAGCTAATCAGCTAACATTTTGTTAACATTAGCTAAAATCTGAATTCTTTTCAACATAGGCGAGCCTAGCACATAGCATATTACTTGCTCAACTGTTACTGGAGCACAGAGCAAAAAGGGCAGGGCTTAGGAAAGCTAAGTAGAGCAAAAATAAAGCAAAGCACTTAAGCTTAAAAAACCTAAGCAAGTCACAAAGGATGAGGGGCCAAAGGAAAAAAATAGAACTAAAGAAAATTCCTACAAACTCAGGACCCTTTTTCAATTGTGCAAGCACAACAACCAGGACAATGCTGTAGGTCTTGGGCACACGGACCATGTGGGCGTCTCTACCTGCTAAATGGCCCATGTGCAGCA